CTCCCCTCCCTCAAAGGCCAGTGCCGGGACACCTGCAAGCAGGGCAGCAACATGACCCTGATCGGCGAGAACGGGCACTCGGCCGACACCCTGACTGGCTCGGGCTTCCGCGTGGGTGAGCACGGGGCACAGGCCAGGGCATGGTGGAGGGACAGCAGCGGTTGGCAAGTATGTGAAATGGGCATGGGGGGCTGTGGTTGCCCAGGGCAGGGACTGAGCTGCATTGGGGATGGGGGAACTGTCTGGGGGACGGGTGCCCTGGAGAGCCCAGCTAGGGCTGGAGGGAGGTGCTGGGTGCAGAGCAGGGGCTTGAGGGGCTAGAAACACATTGCCCTGATTTCTGCTCTGTGCCAGCATGCATGACTCTACCCCACTCACCTGTGTGGCTCACACCTGTGTCATCAGCATTGGTTGCACGCTCGTCCTGTTGCAGTTGGGACTTGGAACTGCTCATGCGGCTGCATTCCACCTGTTGCATGCTCCTCTTCATATGTGTGCCCCTGATACATGCCAGTTTTTACATGCTAAGACCATGGAAGGCCCCCAGCCCCTGCCCCTTGCATGCCCCTTCCCCTTGTCTGCACACACATTTGTGCACTCACAGATCTCATGCATTGTGGTCGACATGTTCAAGTGGGCACATTTCCTCTTGTGGGCACTTGCTGGCACACTTGCTGGCACTCAGAAGCTTGCACGTTTGTTCAGTTTGTTCACTTTAGCCACGCGGTGTATGCTCACTCTCCCCTGGCAGTTCTTCCAGCAGCAGTTCAGGGCTGGAGGAAAATCTCGCCTCAGCGAATGGCTCTGTCCCAGCTCCCATCCCCTGGGGCCCATCTGACGCCTGCATCTCCGGCAGCAAGCCCCCAGTCTAACACACTCATGCATACACACTCACACACACGCAGAATCCATCATGCACATTCAAGGAATCTAACAGACACATGTTCTGGCACACACAATCTAAAACTTCCACACACACAATCTTGCACATGCACACACCCATGCAATCTACCGTCCGCACATGCATGAGTGAACACTCCCATTCTGACATATGTCTGAGCACACATAAACACAATCAAATGTATGCATACACCAACACACACAATCTAACATGCACACCTGTGCAGTCTCATTTGCCTACACCTCCTCATGCAGGTTCCCACACACTCTCAGCCCCCTGCCACTAGCACACACTCAGACTCGTGCTTTCACATGCATGCTCATTTGCACGCATGACTGCCTGGCCCAGGTTTGGCTGCCAATTCCCTGTTTTTTAACATTTTTCTGCCTTCCGGACACCATGCCAGCCACCCCACCCCCTGCTTCCCCAGCTGGGGAAAGATACCTGGGGTCCTTCATCCTCTGCTGCGGGGGGCTGGTGTGAGGGTGGAGCAACCTCTGGGGCTAAGTGAATCCAGAGATGGGCTGGACCCAGCCTGGAAAATTCCAGGCCCAGTGTCTGCACCTAGCCTGGGATGGGGGAAAGCAGGAGGACTGGAGAGCTCAGGAAGAAGAGAGGTTTTTTTGGTAGGGGAGAACTCTTTGATCCTTGCTGAACCAGTTCTACCTCCTCAGCCTGGGTTTGACCCAGAATTCACCCTGTCTAGTCCCTCAGACATAGATCCCTGGGCAGCCCCTCCCTCTGCCTCCTAGCTGGCCATCCTATCTGTCCCTGCTCACCCCACACATCCCTCCCCAGTGCTCCATCCCCCCCACTGTGTGGCTCCCTCCCTTCTCTGTCCACTTCCATTCCCCTGCCACACATGCCTGCAACCCATCCCCTCCTCCAGCTAGCCCCAATCCTACCTTATGATCCAGCCACATACACTTTTCTCCCCCCCAGCCTTTCCTGCCCCCTCTCCCTCAGTCTCATCTCAGCATGTGCTCTCTCCCTCCCCACTCCCGGTTTTGTCCCAGTGACACAAAGAGACTAAAAATACCTTGGACTCTAAAAACCACTGTGGTTATTGACTTTGTACTTGGGAGGGAATGAAACTGAGTCATTGCTGGAAGTGAGGGGGCTGAAGCAGGCACCAGGTGACATTCCCACTAGTGTCCTAGAGTCCTGATCTGCAACCCCTTGTTGTCCCAGCCCTGGACTCCTCCCCCTCACCCCCGCAATCCCTCAGCCTCACCCATACTTTTCTCTGTTCCTGAAATCCCTCTCCTACCCCAGCACACTTTTTCAACTGGACACACAAATCTCCTTCACTTCTTGTCCAGTGTGTGGCTGATCAACAGCCCTTCATGCTCCATCCCAGAGGTAGCTGCATCTCAAGCCCCCAAGTGCACAGTGTATTGGTCTTTCCGATGATGGGGCTGCTGCAGCAGCAATATGCCGTCCTCTTGTTATTGTCCTGAGGGTTTGGATAGTCCCTGCTCCAACACTGAGTCACTGGTGCTTGAGCCAGGGCATCTAACCGGGCCTGGGAACTGGGTATATGAGCACCACCCCCGCCCCTAAGCTGCAGCTGTTCAGCTGCCCTGGCAAACTCCTCACCCAGAGAAATCAACCAGTGCAGTTGGAACCCCCAGCCTCAGCCTGAGGGGGTTTGTTGGGACTCCTGGCTTTAGGAGACAAGTGAGACCTAGTGGTTAGAGCAGGGAAGGACCAGGGTTGTGAGTTAGAATTGCTGGGTTCTGTTTCCAGCTCAGATTCATTCTGTGACCTGGGGTAAGTCACTTCTCCCCTGAGTATTTCACCCTGTGTGGGTTGTGAGGACGGATGTGGGGCTTGTGGTTAAGGCCCTGGGGCCAGAAGACCTGGCTTCTTTTCCTGCTTCCACCACAAATACCCTGCGTGACCTTGGGTGAGCCCGTACTCCCCATCCTGTCTGTTCAGACTGTAGGGTCTTTGGGGCAAGGGCTGTCACCATGGTGAGTGCAGTTCATGGCACAATGGGCCCTGATCTCAGTTGTGTGTGTGTGTGGATGGGGCCTTGATCTCAGAGGTGTATGTGTACAACATCTTATGTTGTGCAATGCCCAGTGAGCTAGGCTCTGATTCTGCATGTGTGTATGTGCCCAGTGCATGGGGCTCTGATCTAAGCGGTGAGTGTGTTTGTGTGTGCGTTATGTGTGTGCATATGTCTGTACAGCATCCAGTACACAAGGCCCTGATCTTAGTTGTGTGCGTGCATGAGTACAGCACCTGCCACATTGGGCCCTGATCTTGATTGGGGCCTCCAGGTGCTGTCCCTAGACTAACAGAGATGTTCATCTGTCAGTGTTACTTTAGTTCTTGGAGGCCCTGCTGAGGTCCCAGAAACACACAGAGGAACAACTTCTGCCTTTTGTGCTCTGGCCGCCCCCTCCTCCCCGCCCCCGACTTCTGTGTGCCCTGGCTTGCTTGCCAGCTCTCTCCCCCGCATATGCCCTGGCTTGCCCACCAGCTCCCTCCCCTTGTGTTCCTTGGCTTGCCTGCTGCCTGCTCCTCCCCCCATGGGTGTTCCCTGGCTTGCCTGCTGGCTCCCCCTGTGTGTGCCCTGGCTTGCCCATTGGCTCACCCCTGCATGTGCCCTGGCTTGCCCACCAGCTCCCCCCCATGCGTGTGGTCTGACTTGCCTGCTGGGGGCATGTTACACAACCAGTTTGTCACATTGTTCACTTGATGGCACAAAGATTCCAGCACTGGCTGGGGGGCTTCCCCTCTAGGGGGTGCCAGCTCAAAT